TGGAAGAAAGTCATTCAGTCTTGCATTCTCAATGGCTAGAGCAGTGGTCACCATCCGGTGGATCCCAATCGGCTAGTATATCAGGGAGCCTCTGACAGTCGATCTTAGTCTGGAGGGGTTGAGTACACGTGGACTCAGCCCCGCCAGACTGAGATTAACGGTCAGAGGCTCCACAATCAGGAGCAGCAGGAAGCACATGAGGAGCGGCCAGAATGCAGTCCGGGAGTGGGGGGACATACGTAGCTGGGCTGAGCCGTGCCCCCTGCCACCAGGGCCAGGCTGGATGAGTGGGATGATCCCCCTCCATGCCCTCCCACCCTGCGGTGAAGGAGGGAATGGGGAAGGGGCAGGGGCGAGTGGGGCCCTAGCCAGGCCAGGGGAGGGTCACAGCCTGGGCAGCTCATCCAGGGGTGTGGAGGGAATCCCATACTGTACACACCCTGGCGGAGGCCCGGGGGCCATGTGCCTTCCTGATAAGTGCGTGGGGCAGAGGTGGCTGCCAATGCACACTGGGCTTTGTCCCCAAAGCCCTGTGCACAGATTTGGGGGGGGGGGGACACGTGGCCCCTGGGCCTCTGCTGGCGTGCATGCAGTGCAGGAGCCCCCCCGCAGCCCTGGATGAGCCACCCTGCATGCAGATCCGGGGACACATGTTCCCCATGCCCTCCCAGGCTGTGTGCCCCCTCACACACACCCTCCAGATGAGCCACTCATGACTTCATCCTGCGCCTGCCTGGCTGGGCAGGGCCTGCCCCTGCTCCACTCCTGCAACACCATGGAGGGGAAGAGGGCAGGTCAAGGCCCCAGCAGTGAGGGAGAGAGAGGGGCACAGGCAGGAGCAGGGGCTGGGGAGAGTGAGGGACAAGCAGAGGCCTGAGGGGCACACGCCCCCGGGCCTCCGCTTGTCCCACCACCCGGCCTGACTCACTCTCCCCAGTCCCTGCTCCTGTCTGTGCCCCGCTCTCTCCCTCACCGCTGGGGCCTCAATCTGCCCAGCTCCCCCATGGCCCTTTCCCCTTCCCCCACCCTTTTCCCCCACAGACTGACCTCCTGGGGGGGGTCGCACCCCCAAATAATTTTTTCTCCCTCTGCCTCAATTTGCCCCCCACTTCCCTCCCCACACGCTGACGGTGGCAGCAGCACAGGGTAGATCTTGGGTTGTTTTTTAATTCAGAAAGTGATCTCCTACCCAAAAAAGGTAGAGACCACTGGGCTAGAAAATGGCTAGAGAACAGTTTTTTAAGGAATAAAAAATACATCCAATGAAACTAACATTTTAAAAAATATCTTCACAGGTTTGCGGGAAAGACTATTTTAAAGTAATCAAAACAGGAACTGACAGTTATTGGAAAACTTGTGTTCTGAATATTAAGCAAAGCTCAACAAACATATTTAAGGCATGTTTTTAAGCTTTCAAGAAAAACTCTGGAGAGCTGGACAAATATTTTCTATCCATTCTGGCTCCCCTTGTTAAGGATGCTATTCCTCAGACTTTCTGTGACTATTGTAATGCAGAACTATTCATGGTGGGAAGTAGAGGTTTGGACTGTAGTCATAGTTTCAGTATATAAAGCCTTTGTCCCATCAGCAGATCCATCCCTCTGTCACTTTTATTCCCCATTTCTTGGCAGGAATAATCTGCACCAGGAAACAGAAGACCCAACTTTAATTATCGAGTCTCTAGTAGTCTTTTCATAATACGCATTAGGGGCATCTTGAGCATTTTTTTCTGCATAACTTATAATTTAAATGTGATGAAATGCAAGTTTAAATCCATGAATAAAATCAATCATGAATAGGGCCCTAAATTGGACAAGCCTGAAACTGCAAGGAAAGCTGAATTCTGTTCTCCATAATTAGATGTACTTAAGAAAAGTCACCCAAAAATTAGTGTGTCAGATATTTTTTTTCCAGTTTTGCATTATGAGTGCTCATCTCTTCATTTCAGGAAATGTTCGTTACTAGTGTACAGAAAAATAAAAGAAAAACACTGTAAACAATAGAGTCCCTTATGCACATCAACCCAACCATAGATCTTGTCCAGGATGTGCAGACAAAAATCACAGCTGGTTTTTGTTGTGTTAACTAATCCTTGGTAACATTTAGTGATTGTTTGTTTTCAGAATAAATGTAATGCAGGCGCTAAGGACTTTGTATTTCCCAGTGTGCCTGTGACTGGAAAACTTCTGAAGCAGGTAATGTTATTAAGACAAACCCTCCAAAACAACCACAAATCAAAAGACACATTTATTTTCTAGGCACAACAAAATGATATTAATAATAAAGAAAAACATGCTTTACAGTGAGATTAATTTGTTTTCATTGTTCATGTGGCTTGCATTATAAAAATCTCTGGAGTCTACTCTATACAACATAATGAGTCTAGTCCATATTACACAGGGATGGCTAACAGAGCTATATGTATTGCTTAATGTTATCCACACACCTTGCTAACAACTCAAAACAATGGGTGCACTGGGAGTGGTATCAGACTTTGCAGCAGAAGAAATCATGATTACTAATGATGTTCTATTTCTTTTTCTCGGGAGTTTCATAAATTTGGACTGTTTATGTAGATTTTATGCAAAAGTATTTACTTAGGAATATTCATAATGTTCAAATCACTAAACAAAGTTCATTAAATCAATTTTCTTCTAATTTGCTGTAATCTCTCCATAGTTTATATATATCATTTGTTAAATCAATATATTCATAGTGAATAAATAAAGTAGTGACTGAATAAAACTTTATAGCAAAGTTGTATTCTTTATACATTTTAATGTATTTAAATGGTAATATGCATAAATTAATAACAAAACTTTCCTTCCTAATTGTAAATGATAAAAAAGCAACTTTGGACAATAAGTTACATACAGCCAGCCAGCCAGCCAAGATTTATCTCATATTTCTGTAAAAACCATAACATCCTTATTCACTGGTGATAAACTTGTGGGGGGCAAGGAGAGGGTATCTCTGGTTTTTTGCTGGAAAACTCTACTAACCACGTGGTCCTGTAATTTGATATGTCGACAGCATTAGATTGGCTTTAATCTGGTCATAACATGAGGCCCATCCCTACTCCAGATCTAGCTCTATAATACTGTTACAGTAACATTTGAGGTGTCCTCTTTCCCTACCCTTTCGCTTGTTAACTACCATTAAGTCACATTGGTATCCTCCACATACTAAAGAAAAATGAAAGCAGTGTTGGTAATGTAATCCGGATCATTAAAGGAACTGCATCCTTATAGCCACATGAAATCTATGAACGCTACATATGCTGTGCTGAGAAGAAGAAGGTTTTTAGGCTTTACAATGGATAAAGTAAGGACATCTCCACTTCTACAGGTCCAAAAAATCAGACCGTTATTAGTAGTACTATCTTGCATAAAAACTGGGGAGGGCTATCTGAAAATCCTGAAGCGTGGGGAAATAAAGCTAGTGAGTGAGATTTTTAATGATTATAAAGAAATTATACCTATTTTATTATGAAATAGTCCTTAGACGGGTATAGTGAGGTAAACAAGGGGACATTAAAAGACCTTGTTAAGTTCCATCAGCCATTTTTGGTTTACATCTTATCCTTTGAACTAAGCAACAAGCCTCACCGCAGTACTAACTGAATTGAGCTTTGTTCTGGCACAGCAATCAGATAGTGTTACAAGGAAATTACAAGTATCATCTGATATGCCACTTGTACTTGTAAGTTTAAGGGGCCCGAAGGAAATTACAGCCTCACAAGGGGGAGCTAATGATGGTTATAATTTTGTGAAGGTTTGAAATGGAAAGTATCTTAACATACGGTCTGTAATATTTACTGTGCTTACAAGCATACCAGGTAATGTTATGTATTAACTATACAATTCAGAGAGAGGGGGGATGGAACGGTGACTAAAGTACATGGTGTCTTAACAAATACTGAGGACAACAAACTGGTCCAAAATGAATAATGTTGTTAGGTATCTTATTACTCAGGAAAGCACAATTTATTAAGAATAGCAATGTGTGCACTTTTTAATCTATGAACAATGGCATAGCAATTCTGAAGCTAGTAAAGTATGTCAATTCTGATATCAAAGTATAGGCATATGCTTTCTCTAAAAGGAAAAGATATATTTCATAAATGCCCATGACTAAAAAATAACTTGTTCAATCAGTGTCATAGTTCTGAAATAAATAATTCAAAACATAAAAAAATGCCTGATATTTATTATGTAATTTAGGAGGAAATGGTCTTTCAGCCCAAAGAGCTTTTGCTATTAACACAATCTAAACTGTACCATTCTTACCTCAATCAATTTTCTTTCATAAGAACTAGCTAGTTCTTCATTGTTTTCCACTTGCTTTTGCTCAGGAATGGTAAATTCACCTTCAATGTTCCAAAGGTTGGGCAGAACTAAAATAAAAAAAATTCATTAAATGGAAATGGAAGTGACTGTAGTGAATACGTAAATAAATTTTTCAGAATGAATACCTTCAAAAATGCTTTAGCAAAATATTGAACACCAATAAAAAAGTAACTTAAATACAAAACGGGGGGGTTCTTTTTTTTTAAAGCAATATTTAAGTAGCTTCTCATAACAGTAAAACACAAAATTTAATAAAAACTCAGGTAATGGCAAATAACTAGTATTAATGTGTTAAGTATGTTGTGGGCACATACACAATAACTGTATGGTAAAATAGGACACAATTTGTTAATTAAATTCCCTAATAGCCCTGTCCTAAAATTCTCTAACTCTTAAGCAAAGGCTACATAGTTTTGAAAATAGTTCATTATAATTCCTTTTAAAAAGTATCTTAGAGAAACTAATGAAGCATTGCCCAGGCAAAGAGGAAGAAAGCTCCCTACATTTGACTGAATTATATCTGATAAATCGGAAATTATGACCCTCTCCTCCCCTCCCAGCCCCTCCCTACCCAAAGAGTCCATCCACATTTGGAAAGTAAATTTAGAAAGTCTACAGGATAACCAAAATGGAGTCTAACCATAACGGATAACAACTGAGAATTATTTTTGTGGTCCAATCAATAAAGATGCAGCTTTTCAGAGTTATGCATTAGTTCTGAATCAAATGACTGACAATTTAAAACCCTTCTATTTATTTTGTTAACAATATCACTGAATTCAGGGAAAAAAACAAGGTTTCAAAATACTTGGAAACAACTGAACTTAAATCAATAATTATATTATAAAAGTTTCTAACTTTTTTGTATCAGTATTCAGAATAGTCATACTGGCATAATTTATAGTTAATACACTTTCAGTCTTACATAAAAAAGTAATACTCAGTATGTTCTTAAGCATAAATTGCAATAGCACTTAGGGGACAACTATGAAAACAAGATCTTCTCATAGACGAAACCTTTATGATTTCTTTAAAATGAGGTACGCTGCAGAAATGAGACTACATATAAAATGCCAATTTGCTCAACAGATGTTTCCTTTGTATCTGTTTCGAAAAAGGACACAATGACCCAGTTTTATTCCTTTTCCCCAGGATGATACTATGGGAGAGCAAACTGGATTGAGTTCTCTTTCACATCAACTACCGTACTCCAGGCTAAACTAAGATTCCAAATTTATTATTAGTGATGATGTACAAGAAGGAACTTGCATAGCTTGATATTACAATTCAAGCTGAAGTTGCAAGACTGGAGGAAGAATTATCAACATGTAGATATAAAATATGGTTTTAAAATAGTAATTTGTCAAACTGCATGCTCTTAATGTACCTGCGGTACTTGAAAAATGTGCAAGTTGCAGCCAACAATCTGCTGTGAAAAAAATGCATAATTACCACCATTAACATCACCAAGGCTGACAACATTCTGATTTACAAAAAGATCCATTCTCAAATTGCTACAGTATTTACAGAGATTCTACTTATCCTTTACTCGTGTCTTAACAACAACATAATTCAAATAAAAGATATTAAGTAAAAGATTACCAGAACATAAAGCAAATTATAAAGCAAGAACAAAGCAAATCATTTTCTAGATACTGAAAATTATTTTTCAGGTGAAAAGAGTTTACTCCTGAAAGGTACAGCAGTTATTTTTCATAGTTTCATAGTTTCTAGGGTCGGAAGCGACCTTAGCAGATCATCTAGTCCGATCCCCTGCCATGGTAGGAAAGAGTACTGGGGTCAAACGACCCAGCAAGGTGTTCATCTAACCTCTTCTTAAAAACCCCCAGGGTAGGAGCCTGCACCACCTCTCTTGGAAGTTGGTTCCAGACCCTAGCCACCCTGACCGTGAAGTAGCGCCTCCTGATGTCTAACCTAAACCTACCCTCTGCCAGCTTGTGACCGTTATTCCTGGTCACTCCTGGCGGTGTTCGGGAGAACAATGACTCCCCCAATGCCTGCTGATCCCCCCTGACTAGTTTGTAACAGGCCACAAGATCCCCCCTCAGCCTTCTCTTTTGGAGGCTGAACAGGTTCAGGTCCCGTAGCCTCTCCTCATAGGACCTGCCCTGCTGTCCCCTGATCATGCGAGTGGCCCTCCTCTGGACCCTCTCGATGCTGTCCGCATCCCTCTTGAAGTGCGGCGCCCAGAACTGGACGCAGTACTCCAACTGCGGCCTGACCAGTGCCGCATAGAGGGGGAGGATCACCTCTTTTGACCTGCTTGAAATGCATCTGTGGATGCATGACAAGGTACGGTTGGCCTTCCTAACTGCCTCCCCACACTGCCGACCCATGTTCATCTTGGAGTCAATGATGACTCCAAGATCCTTTTCCACCTCCGTGCTGACAAGAGGGGAGTTCCCCAACCTGTAGGTTTTCACTGAGTTTCTTTGCACCTAGAATAGTTCTAGGGTTCTGCCCTGAAGACACTGCCAAAAAGTATTCTAAAATTACCTGAAGCAGTCCGGAAGACAAAGGTAACAGCTCTTTTATTCATCTCTACAGAACACCAAGAATTTAACTTTTCCTTAAATAGTTAATCAATAAAATGTAAGACTTTAGAGAACTGGAGAGCAAATATTTAATCGTTTTTCAGAATAAGTTTGATTCCCATTTGATACCCAAATTTTATCCCCTAAACTTCGCACAGATTGTAATTACTCAATTACCTTGGATATGTGAAAGTTAATAAAAACACGCTAAAATTAAACAAATTGACTAGTACCTGTGCACCAGAGGGAGCACTTTTTGGCACAGAACAACACTGATACGGATGGTTAATCTTATTTAATATCCACTCTTGCTTGGTTTGCAACTACTCAGTTCAGATTTGAACTATAATATTTGACTGTGCTTCTCAATTAGACAACCAGTAAACAGAAAACAGTCTTACACCTCCATGAGTGAAAAAAAAATGGAACGGAAAATGGAAGTTACCCTAATAAGATAAAATGGGCAAATTATGGTGTTATCATTACTTTACTAATAGAGAAAGCTAGCATGATCCAGAACAGAGTCAAAACTGTCTCAGACAAATTAAGTTCTTTACGTAATTTTATGAAGAATGGAATTTACTATAAACAAAAGTACTACAGGAAGTAGAACAAGAGACTGATTTTAGAAACTGATTGAAAGGAAAAGACAAGAGACTCATTTTTGAAACAAAAGGGACAAACATTCAAAAGGAATGTTTCCACGTTTGCTATTATTAAAGCAGCACAGCATTAGGAGACAGGAATGAGATTGTGAAAAGAAGTCATAAGCACCAAGATTTCAGTTAGCCAGAGAAACAAGAATGTGTATAAATTTTCCTTTCCTAATCTAAAATTTAGACAGCACAAAAGCCCACACCTAAAAAAATAAAAGCTACATTGCAAAGCAAAACAAAAAGATGACCATGTCTCCTGAACCACATAAGCAGAAAAGCTTATGTACGTGTTAAAATACAAACGGGAATAAAAAAGGGCTCCCAGATAAATTACAAATGTCTAGTAAATATGCATAGCAAAGAGGGGGGGAAAAACCCGTCAGGAACAAAACAACTAAATATGGTGATAAATGAAATACTGTGAATAATCACTGAAAAGAAAAGATATGGGAATCCATTTAGTTCATGATGAGTGGTATACCAGAATACAAGAAATGGCAAGAAGTTAAAAAAACTGACAGAAAGGAAGGATTCTGAGGAGATGAATAGAGGAAAAGAATTACCAGCTGTCAGTTAGCAATGAGATACCTTATATGAGGTAATAAAGGACCTGGTGCCGAGAGACAAACATTGCTGAGAATCTGAATATCCTCATTATAAAAAAAAGTCCCAGCATATATACATTAAGGAGGACAAAGTGCAGCAGAATACATTTTATAGCAGACAAAAAAATAACACATGAAAATGAGGGCCACATGAAGCTGGATTTAATAAAAAGATAGAGAAGCAAATTACCTGCAACCAGGAGTTTCACAATGCCTGGAAAAGTATGTTATTTTGTAATTTATGCTCAAATTATTAGAATCCCCGGATTCATAGTCTCCACTGAGCCCGGAGGCCGAGAACACAGATCAGCTGCTGCTCCCAGTCATGGGGGCACATCAGAGCCTGTCACGGGCGGGGACCCAGGAGCGGCCATGATCTCTCCTAGCATCCCCTACCATGCCAAGTTGGTATAAATGCACCCTCGTTCTCGCCCGCCACGTCTTTGATGACAAAAGTATTAAGGGAGGCTGCCTTTTGCTCCCTTGGACACGGTACCCCGATGTATCGCAGTTTGTGTCCCGTCTTAGCGGACCCCGTGAATTAAAGCCTCAAGGGCCACGCGTGGCTCCTACCACTCCTGATACCATGCCCCAAGCCTCGCAGATGTACCGGCCATTGTCTAGACAAATCCCTTGCCGCGCCCTCATGGCGGCCCCTTGCTTGCCTCGCTATAGCCCGTGTCCTCACGGGCGTCCTCTGCGCACGTCTTAGTTGTCCGCACCCTTGCGGGTCCCCTGGCCTCTCTCGTGGCTGTTTAGCCTGCGCTCTCTCACAAGCACTCCCTGGTCTCTCTCCTCTCACCGATGCCCGCATTCCCCGCAGACGCTCTCTCTGGCCTCTCTTGCGGCCGTGCCCCACCGGGGCACTCTCACGATCCCACCCGCACTGGGGCCCTGCCTCCCAAACAGGGCTCAGGTGGCCATAGCCATGCCTGGCCCCCAAATCCCCTCTCTGGGGCTTCTATTCCTGTGTGCCCTCCCTGGGGCTTCTATTCCTGCGTGCCCTCCCTGGCACTTAACACAAGCACCCTCTGGGCTTCTCGCCGGTGCCCACTCTGGTCCTCCTCACAACTGGGGCTCAGGTGGCCGTAGCCGTGCCTGGCCCCCAATGCACTGTGCCCCTTCTCAGGGCTGGGGTCAGTGCCCCCCCTCCTCGGGTCTACAACCCCCACCAAGGCTCAGGTGGCTGTAGCCGTGCCTGGCCCCCAGATTCCCCTCTTGGGGCTTCCAG